CAGGGATGTGGCTGGGTCGGGTCAGGACACCAGCACCAGGCTGAGGGCAGGACCCTCGACCGCTGCTTAACGCTCTCTCCTCCTGCTTGCAGAGCCAGGAGCCTGAGCAGCGGCCCCGGCCGAGGGTGAGGTTGGCAGAGGGGTGGATGCTGACTCTTCCCAGGAGATGGACAGAGTCACCCGGCACTTGGTGTTCCAGCTCCCACAGCCCTCGCACAAACACGACCACGGCGATGCTGCCCCGGCCGGCTCCTTGGCAGAGCAAAGGGCCGATAGCGAGGACGACGTGTTCGGAAGCCAGAGGGTGGAGAATGGATACGGCTGGAAAACGACGTCAAAGTCACCCTCGTATCTCCTGCGTGGTGGGAGAGATGTCTGGACCCCATCGCCGGACAGGGAGTCCAAGCTGGAGGTGGTGAGGTCGGGGAGCCTGTACGACCTCAGGGCTTACCGAGGGGAGAGGAAACCCTCGAGGCTTTACGAGGAGGATGAGCAGGAGCAGTGCAGGGTCCCTCCACCAAACATCTCCCCCGAGCAAGCCAGGGAGCTGGAGGACCAGAGGAGGGAGGTCATCCGAAGCCAGGTGATGAGGAAGAGCTCCACCATGGCCGAGAGGTGGAGCTCCATGGATGAGCTGAGCTCCATAAGCCAGGGGGAAGGCAGGCACAAGGGCAGCGTTGGCACCAGCTTTGCCATTTGCTTTGACAAAGCTTCCCCGGGGAGGGCAGCGACGCCGGTTGACCCTGAGAACATTGACACGGAGCAGATCAACTTCTCTGCTGCTCGGCAGCAGTTCCTGATGCTGGAGAAGACCAACCCAGGCTCTTTCTTCAGCCCAGAGCAACAGACCATGTCTCCAAAGCCGGAGACCACAACAAAAGACTCCAGGCAGGAGTGGCACAGTCCTGAGATGGCCACAAAGGCTGCGAGAGGTTACGGTAATGCCGATGCATCCAGCCAGAGCGGGACGGAAAAGAGCGTGTACCAGGTTTATAGCGTGTCCTACAAGACACCAGGGAAGGAGGAGGTTTATGTTCCCAGAAAGGCTGATGCTGGAAGGTCACATCCCACCAGGAGAATGTCCGGCTTCACCAAAGCATCTTCCAGAGAAGACCTGGACTCTGGCCTGGGGGAGATGTACAACGAAGCCAACATAGGCTACGCCAGCGATGGAAGCATGTCTGAGGTCTTCAATGGCCTCGTGGAGATGAGGGCCGGCAGCAATGGCTTGGACAAGGAGACGAAGATCAGCAACGAGACACCCATCGAGCGGGAGATCCACATGGCGATGGAGAGGGAGGAGAACCTCTGGAAGGAGAGGGGGATCCAGCGGCTCACCTCCAGCAGCGAGCTGGTGGAGATCCAGACCAAGCCGCTGCTCTCCATGCACACCTCCCCGGGGCCAGGCAGGAAAGGGAAGGACAAAGGCCGCGCTTCCCTTTATGTCCAGAGGGAAATCGAGCAGGAAACCAAGCGCGAGGAAGACCTGAAGAGGCAGGGGAGGCTGCTGGGGACGTACGACCGGGGCACGCAGCAGGAGCTGGACGAGCGCAGGAGGGTGTTCGAGCAGGAGGAAGACCCCGTGCCGAAGCCCATTCCCTCAAGGAGCTGGGGTCAGGAGCAGCCCACGGGCCCCACAGAAGACCCCAGGGGTGGGAGAAGCTTTCTCAGCTCCACAGGGAGCATCACGCGCTTCCGGTTATCCAGCCCCAGCGAGAAGAGCTGGGAGCAGCCCGCGGTGTCCCAGCACGTTTCCACCAGCACCAGCAAATGGAGGAGTGAGGATTCCCAAGGAGGAAGGCTCCTCGGCTCCACCCCGAGCCCCGCCGGCACCGCTGTCCTGCCCAGGGAGTACTTCTCCTTGTCCTTCTGGAAGCCCAAGGTCTCCTTCGTGGACGAGATGGGGACGCAGAGCCCGCTCAGGAGGGAGGACGGCCGGGATGAGCAGTACAAGCTGAGGACCTGGAAGCCCCAGACATCGGCACTGATCGAGGAGGAGATCCGCAGCGACCTGCAGAGGGAAGAGGAGCTGCAGGAGCAGCGGCGGCGGCGGCAGATGATGGATGGCTGCTCCCAGGACGGCTCCCGCTCACGGCACAGCTCCGGTAAGAGAAGGAGAGGAGCTGGGATGGGGCAGGGATCAGGCCCATGGGTATCGCTCCTGCCCTCCCAGTCCTTGCCGCTCTGGGTCTCAGTGGGAGCATCCGATGGGGCAGGAGTGGCACCGGGGGTTGCCCATCCCAAGGGATCTTGGCAGGACGCCCTTATAGCCAATGTCCACAGCCTCTGAGATGCCTCATGGCCAGAGGTGACCTGGGCTCTACCTAAGAGTGAGAGCGGCCGCAGCAGGCACCAAGGGGACAGTGCTGGGTGGAAGCAAGCCCTGGCTGGCACCCAGACACAGGGCCCAGCCGTGCCCAAACCTGCTGGTCCTGGCGAGGAGGCCGTCAGGGGCAGGAGCTTCGCTTCTCCTGCAGCCCCTGGAGCGCTCCCGCTGTCCCTCACCCCCCATGGCTCTTTCTCTTGAAGCTGCCTCAGGTGCCAGCGGCAGCCACTCGGTGTCCGGGTCTCCGATCTCCACTCCTGCCTCGCATCAGATGGGGATCCTGGGGCTGGTGTCGTCCTTCACCCCGCTGAGAGTGGTCGGTCCCCCTCTGGGCAGCACCGAGAGCCTCGGCCCCGACTCGGCCCAGTCCAGCCCCTTCGAGGAGAGGAGGAAGAGGGTGAAGGAGGATGGAAAGGTGAAGGCAGCCGCCGTCGGGGGGATGGAGCCCAGGAGGAGGCTGGTGGCACCGGGGGCTGGAGGCAGCAGAGCAGTGCCGGGCTGCCAGGCTGGGGGCTGTATCCAGCTGCCTTGGGATATTGCCACATGAGGTTGCCATTCCCTGAACCTTCTTCCCCTCTTTTTGCAGTACGCAGGCATTGAACCCGTTGACAAGGTCAACACGGAGGTAAAGCCCTTTCCACACTCAAGGGTTCTGCTTGTGCTGGGATGAAGGGATGGGACAAGAGGGAATGGCTTGAACCTGCCCGAGGGGAGACTGAGTTGAGCTCTTAGGCAGAAGCTCTTCCCTGGGAGGGTGCTGAGGCGCTGGCACAGGGTGCCCAGAGAAGCTGTGGCTGCCCCATCCCTGGCAGTGTTCAAGGGCAGGTTGGACACAGGGGCTTGGAGCAAGCTGCTCCAGTGGAAGGGGTCCCTGCCTGTGGCAGGGGTTGGGGCTGGAGGAGCTTTACGGTCCCTTCCAACACAATCCATTCCACATTCTCTATGATCCCCATAACCCCACTGGGCTCCCCTTCCTCCGAAGTCCGGCAGCAGGATGGGATGGACATGGGTTTCAGCTCCTGGAGGGCTGCAGGTGGGCACCGTGTGGGTCAGAACGTACCCAGAGAGGAGGGTCCCGGCTGGTTGGGAAGTCAAGGAAAGGTTCACACAACCGAAGTCGTGTTCCCCCTCCTGCAGGTTGTGGAGAGCACCCGAGTGACTCGCCACAAGAGCGCCATGGCCCAGCGCTGGGAGGCCGGGCAGTACGTGCGGGATGAGGATTGAGGTGACAGCGGCACCGGGGTCCCCTGATTCATCATGTGCTGCCCAGTTGGATCCACCAGCACGTGATCCCCCTGACCAGTCCAGCTCCTGGTTATCCCGAGGATCAGAGACTTGTACACTGCAAATCGCATCGTTTTTTAATGTCACTGATGATCCTTCCAATGCTCTTTTGTTCCCCGTCCAGTTGAGATAATCCTTTTTTCTTCCGAAGGGAAAACCTGGATCACTGTCCTTGTAATCACTCTGCCAGGACACAGCCGGATGAAATCAGACGGTCACTGAGCTCCTTTCTCCTTGGAAGTGCCGTTTCTGGCTTATCAAAAAGCGATTTTATTTCTCGGGGCTTTGGGAGTTGATGTTCCATGTCGGGCATCACCTGGGAGCGGGCGGGAACGCTCCTTTGGGTCAGGGAATTGCAGCGGGCCGGGAATCACCCTTTAGTGCTTAACGCCCGTGACAGCGGGGCTGCAACGATGGAATCGCACCCAGCGACCTCCGCCGCGCGTTTGCTCGGCCCCTTCTCGGTCGGGTCCGGCCGCTCCTGGGGCTTGCAGCAGGGATCGGGGCTGGACGCGGTGTCCGGGGGTCCCTGTGGCCGCTGTACCGGGAGCGGAGGGGCCCGGCCGCTGCCGCCAGGGGGCTCCCGGCGAGCGAAAGCCGGGTGCGGGCACGGCGGGGCACGGCTCCTGCAGCTCCCTCCTGCAGCCCGGTCCTGCTCCTGCAGCCCTGCTCCTGCTGCAGCCCTGCTCCTGCTGCAGCCCCTGCTCCTGCTGCAGCCCTGCTCCTGCTGCAGCCCTGCTCCTGCTGCAGCCCCTGCTCCTGCTGCAGCCCCTGCCCCAGGACGCTTTGGTCTCTAAACCTGCAGCAGCGAGGTTCCAGCCCCCGCTGTGCAAAGAGAGGAGCAGAGGTTGGTTCCCGTGGCCGCGGCCACAGCACAGCCCTGACCCATGGCTTGGTCTCCAGCCCCGTGTTACCCCCAGATGCTCTGAGTGTGTCCCCCCCCCAGCCCTGCAGTGACACAGGCTGGAGCAGGGACACTGCAACCTCCGGCCGGCCCCGAGGGCTGCGGGTGATCTGTTGGTGAGACAGGAGCCTTTGGTCTCACTTCTGCAGACAAAGCTGGTCCCAGGAATCATATCCCACCAAATGCAGATGTAAAACCATTTAATGAAAAATAAACTTTAATGGGAACGTTCGCCCCAGTGTCGGTTCTTGGTGTTGGGTTAGGTTTACCCACGGGGCTGCTGAGGCTTCATGGACCATCAGAACAGCATCAGCCCTGGATGAGGTGGGATTTAGCTTGTGGTCTGATGCTGCTCACTTGCGAGGGCTGGAGCTGCTGCTGACTAATGGCACTACCATTATAAGAGCTAATATCACCTTCATGTGGGTAGGACAGACAGACAGGAGGGAGTGAAATGTTCTTTTATTAAGCTATGTCAACCAACAACTGACTGGGCTGTAGGACAACATCCATTGAACAGTGAACAGATGAAAGAAGATTCTCCACCAGAGTGAATTTGTGTGGCTGTATTTAGTGTTTTGGGGAAACCACTGACCATAAAACCTCATAATGCTGTCAGCTGCCTTACACAGCTCTTTAAAAACACAGTCACAGCTTCTTAAATCTACTAATCTTTCACTAAGAAAAAGGACACTAACCTTGTTGAAAGCATTCCCACAGGATATGGATGAGCACCTGGCACTCACTGCTCCCCCCACCCCAGAACTAACTCCTGTTTCTCACACAGGCTTATGCTCTAGAATAAATGCTGTGTCCAGGTGTCAGCTCCCCAGAGGGCAGCTTAAACGCAAGCTTAGAAGCTCCAGCTTGAAGCCAAGCTTCTAGCTGTTGAGCCCTCTCCATGGGAACATCAGCTGGTTTATGTTGTTAATAATACAGCAGAAAATGAACTTGTTTGGCAAATGTGAAACCAGAGTCTTGGATTTACTGAACTTCCTGAATTATCAACCCCACTAACAGAACAACAGTAGTTTTTCACTGAACCTGAGAGCAAAGGTGATGCAAATGTGCAGGTGAATTCTGCTCTAATGTGAGACTGAGGGGAAGGTTTTTCCCCCTACCTACACTATTGATACTTGAACCTCTCAAAGAATGCTCTGAAACACACTCCTAGTAACAGGAGGTGGAGCAGAACCTCCATGGATACCTTTACTTCCTGGATTTCACGGGTCTTTTGACTTGCTGGATGATAATTTTCAGCATCTTTTCCATCTTGGCTTTTGTCAGTGGCTTCCTACAGTACCACACCTGGTCCCAGATGGAGCACAGCGGCTTGGGAGCCAGGTAAAGCGGATCGTGGTCATGGAGCATATCCAGTGGCCTCCTCTTAGTGTACTCCTTGTAATTTTTCACTGGACAGTTATCTGGATCATCAGGCTTGGCAAAGAGATGTGGACCCGAGCCCCCTGTGCTCAGCTCCATGTTCAGATTGTCCTTCCACTCCAAGTACTCTGGCCCTCCCTCTTTCCTCTTCAGCACGAGCTGGCCCCAGTACGGGCTGTGGCTCTGAGCGTGTGTGCGTGCCCCAAACCCCCTGATGATGTTTGTGAACATGAGGTGCAAAAGGGCCTGAGGGTGATTCTTACCTAAAAGTCCCTTCTTCCAAAGACTTTCCACATCCTCATCTGTCAGCTTCTCCAGAATGCTCCACGCTCCCTCCCTCACTTTCTGAGACAGATGCTGGTGTTTCAGCTTCAAGGCTTCCTGGGATGCTCGGAATTCTGGCCCTCTCACCACACTGTACTTGTAACTGTGATCCTTGAGGTATCTCTCTATGGCGCTCTGAAAGAAGTGCAGGGAACAGGGGGAGAAGTCTGTGCCATTCTGTCTCTTTGCAGAGCTGTAGAACAAGGCGAGGTAATTATCAAGGTCTTGGGGTGGCAGCTCATAGGCCTCCCGTGTTTCTAACGGGCAATGCAGAGCCAGCCAGTCCTTGAACACTTTTATATCACCAGAGATACGGTTTTTCTTCTTCTCAGTCTTTAACACACCTGAAAGAGAAGACACAGCCTTGTGGACAACAAGAACTTACAAGGAGATGCAGATTAATGTTCATCTCAAAGGAATTCAGATTCCCCCCCCTGCCCCGTTCTCATTTGACCACCATCCTTGCAGTCCTGCATCCAGCTCCGGGGCTGGTCCATGGCCAAGTGCATCTGGTACCTGAAGTGCGCATTGTGGAACCTTTATAGCCCCATTTAGCAGGAACAAGAGTGCTGCAATACAGGTTTTGGCAGCTGTATGAGCTTGCCCTCCTTCAGGATTTCGGAAAACCATCCCTCCCCCCCCCCCAAATCCTCCAGGAATAACCCTCCTCTCACCTCCAGCTGCAGGTGGCTGCTCTGTGTTACTGCTCTCTGGATTCAGCAAGCCTGAATGATGAGGGGCCTGCACAGATCTCAAAGTTTCACTCTCCTCAGCGGGGCTGTCAAGAACATTCTCACTGAAGTCAACTCCTGTCATGCTGGGCTCCAGAGGGCTCAGCTGGAGCTCCTGCTGGATGTCTACACTGGCTTCAAACTCAAAGAATGCCACAGAGGCTGGGGACTCAACATGGGCCTCTGCATCAGCGTTGGAGGCACGAACAGATCTGACGTGTTCTTTCAGCATTGCTGACCCAGAGGGATTTCTTGCTCTAGAATCTTCCATTACTGATCCTGCAGGATGAAGAGGAGAACCCAGCCTCAGGAAGCTGCTGTCCAGGCTCCCTTGGTCACTGAGAGGGGATTTCAGAATGCACACAAGAGTTGGGGACAGCTTTCCTGTGGGGGTAAAGCCAGGTCTTTGGGTAGCTGTTGGCTTGTTAAATGCTGTATTTTGACTGTGATGCATTTGTGAATCTACCTCAGCAGTTCCACCCATCACTGGTGGCTCTGACAGAACATTCTGGTTGATTCCATCTTCTCGGTCGTCTGCATCTGACATATACTGTTCTTCATCAGAGATGATTTGTAGATCTTTGCTGCTTTCTTGCTTCACCTTAGGTCTGTTGGTTTGGGCTTCCCCAGCAGACACTGAGAACTGGTGCTTTTCTGCAAAGCCTGATTTCATGGATTTGCCAGCCTTCAAATTCTCAGTGGGTGATGGCTCATTATGTGTTACATAGACTGCATCACCCTTCTGCTGAGTGCCCCTTGGAGATCTGCTACATGACCTTGTGCTAACAGCATCTTTGCCCCACTCAAAAGATGGGGTCACCCGGAACCTCTTTTCATTCAGGTTAGCTTCCCTTGCTGAAGTCTCACAGGACACTGACCTCTTCCTCCTCTCTGCAGCTTTGCTCTCCTCTCTGCTTCTGATGTAGAGTTTTTCACACTGCCAGTGATACGCGTGTCCAACTCCACAGATCCACAGCACAGAGTTGTCCTTGCTTGCGTGAGCCACGTTCTGCACAATTTCCAAGGCTGGGATCTGCTTGCATATGGTGCCATGAGTGTGCGCCCAGGTCACAAGGTTGGTGAGATCCATGTAAAGTGAGCTGGCATTGCTCCACTTCCCATCGCCCATGCTCTCATTCTGCAGAAACATGTTGGAGAGACTTGTGTGGAAGAGGATCTGCATAAAGCAGCAGTCCCAGGGACTGCTTCTAGCCCTGTTCAATATAGTAACTCTAGATCAGCGATCCCTGACAATTCTGTACTTTCTTGGGGGAAAGAACAAGGGGAAGTGTCTGGAATCGGCTCCACAGCCTCCCCACGGCCCCCAGGACTCAAACCTCTGGCTCCACCATGTGCATCCAGGGGTCAATGGGATATGTGAAGAGGTGGTTTGGGAGCTGCTTTTCAGCAACTAAAGCCCAGACCTTGCATCCCCATGGCTAAAACTTGGTTTTAACAAAACTGATTGTGTTAGAAAGAACTAAGGTGTCTTTTATGCTATAGAATACTCACCATGATGCTGTTGTCTGTCTCTCAGAGCCTTATTTCAGGTGGAGATCAGTACATGACTGCTTGAGTATTCTCTCTTTCTCTCTCAGAGCCTAAAGTAATAATAATACATGTCTATATATATGTGTGTGCATATATATATATATATAAAATCTGACTAGCAGATGCAACTAAACTTTTCAATGCTCAGTCCAAAAGCTACTGCAGAACACATGTCCTCATTCAGGTGAGTCCCCATTGAGCTCCAATGAGCTGTACATAAAAGCTGGGCTTGTGTCAATATTTGCAGGATCAGCCTCTATAGGGACATGAAATACAAACACTGCAAAGAGCATTGTAAGAACCAGGCTCTGGGAGATGTTCCTTTCAGCCCTCTGTGGTTGGCAATCTTTGCTTCCCCAAATGGAGGGAACTGCACAACCAGAAGTCCCTGGTTCGGATTCAGACATTTTCTGACTTTCAAGCAGTAAAAAGAAGAGGAAGAAGCACCAGTATCAATCCATGTGTTCCCTCATACAGCTCTTAAGTAACAGGACGGGTAATTTTAGCCTCAGTGCTGTGCTGTTTGTTGCTAGCTTGTGAAACGTGCAAGTGTTTAACTAAAATCCACTGCTTGCTTTAAACACCAATCAGACCAAAATCCCTATTTTTAAAGCAGCAAATGCATTTTGAGCTTTTGGCATGGGATCTGCTGCCACTCTGATCTCCTGAAGCACAAGAAAGGGGGTTGGAAGTCACCTCAAATGGCCACGCCAACTGTCCTTGGTTGAGCTCTGCCCAAGATTCTGCTGAGAGGTGTCTGTCAACCTGATGTCAGACCGACCCAGGGAACCCACAACCTGCTCCTGGGCAGCCCAACATCAACTTGTGGGAATCCACTTCTCCCTTCTGAAGTCAAGCAGCGTTTTATCTTCGTGTCTGACCTGTGTAATTCCTCCCAAAGGCCTGAGCTGCTTGGACAAGCTAAAAGGAATTTTCATGCCAGTAATTTGGTGCTTCCAGTCTGTGTGGGAAAAGGCAACAGAAACGGAAGCCCTGCACAGTCAGAAGGCCCTGAAATGCCTGACCTGGCAGATGAACATCGCGATTTCTACCACAGGGAATGCTTTTATCCTTCCTTATCTCCAAGCACATGTCTTCCTTTTCCTGAGCTCTTTGAAAAAGCCTTTTTTCTCTGGCTATCTAGTTCCCAGTAAGGGCTCTGTAACCAACCAGGACCCCCCTTCAGCCCACCCCTGCTCTGGTATTCACTTCCAAAGGAACTAAGCAGCATGAGCCTGAATTTTACTGTCCCAGCTGAGTGGGGGGGAAATGAAATCTATTTCCCCATGAAGAAGAACAGATACTTCTCCCCTCTTCAATTAATGTGATCGTTGCCTGCTTCATAAAATCCCAGGATCCCTGTGGATGGGGAGGGTCTGGGCTTGGGGGTTTGTTTGGAAACCTTCTGTCTGGTTTGGTATCTGCACAGCTGGGAGTGATGCAGCGGTTTCATGCTCCTTCCAGGAGAGGCTCCCATCTGATAACAGCACCGTGTGTGCAGGACCCACACCTCTGTGCAGCAAAACAGGACATTCCAAAGCTCTATGGTAAATGTTTGCTTTTCATTTTGCTTTAACCTATCGGGAATTTAGTGCACTAATAGAACCTGTAGTTTGGTGAATTCATGCTCACGAGGAGAAAGAAGTGTTGCAGTTTAAACCTACCGGATTTCTCCCATGCCTGGTGTACACAGAAGCATTGGAGGTGGCAGCACTGTATATGCTTATTTTACTGCTGTCATCAAGAGAAAGGTGGCAAGGAGTTTCCAAGAGGTCTCCAGTATTGCAGGGGAGCTCTTAGAACTCCAAGCTGACTAAAAGCATTGAAACAGGCATTCTGGTTTAAGACTTCCCCCTGTGCAGCTTGAGCCCCTGAGGGGAAAACCCAAACCCAGCACTTTGTGTTCTACAGTCAAACACAGGAACCTGGAACAACCATCTCTGCTCCTCTCTGTTTCGGTGGGCTCTGTGCAGCGTTAGGGTGTGCTGAAGGTTCACTGAAATCCTCTGCCACACACACACACAGGCTTCAAGCAGGGAACCTAAATAAAGAACCTAATTGTATAGGCACTGAAAGGCCTTTAACCACATTGTTCCTGTTCCTCCACCCCGTAATAGTCCTGGCTGCGTTTCTCTTCAGTCTTGTAAGGTCCATTTCACAGATGAGAAACCTGAGGCACACACAAAGCAAGTAAATACGAGAGCTTTGCCTTTTCAGCTCCAGATAAGACAGTGCAGGAAACTGAAACAATCCTGGTAGGAAAACAACAGGATACAGAACAGCAGTCCTTCAACTTGGCTCCCGCCCCCTTCCCCCAGCAGGGATTGTGTGCTTGAGAAACACTTGCTGGAGGTGGAGGGCCAGGGGAAGGGTGGAAAATGCACATCTAGGAGGGGGTGTAAGGCCAGAGAGCTGCCAGGACGGGCAGAGGACACTGAGGGGATGCGGTGGGGAGGGATGGAGCTGCAGTTAAACACATCTGGTTGCAAGCCGGGAGTAGAGAGCGGAGCAGAAGTAGCTCATGGCTGCCAAAACCCATCGAGCTTGTCCCAGCACTTCTTAGCAAGGGCCTTTGGGGTGGATTAATCATTTCCCAGCACATCGTTTTTCCTGTTCTCTGCAATGTTTGTTCCTCTCCTCCCCCTCCCCCTGTACAAGAGCCTTCTCAGCACCTCTTCAGCGCTTTTCCTGCCTCACCACGTCCTTCCAGAACTGCCTCCTGCCCTCCCTGCAGAAACACAATCCCAAGCAGCATTCTGTGCTTGCTGCAGGGCGGCATTCCTCCATGTTGAGAGATGCACCCGGAACATGATATCCCGTGGATGTGAGGGCGGGCAGGGTCTGCTGTTAAACATTACCCTACAGCTCCACATTCCTGAGACAAGAGAGGTTTTGTTCAAAGAATCAGACCCAACTTTTTCCATGGGGCCCAGTTATCTCTCCTCTTGAGGGGCGGCATTACAGAGCTGCCGTCCTTGGAACTGTGAGCTCTGCATCAAGTTGTCTTTAACAGAGCTACTAAAAGCCACAGCCAGCTGGCACAGGGTTGCTTGAGCCAGCAACCAGTAACCAGCCACTAAAACCAGGTCTGGTAAAGGGCAAACTTCATTTAAACCCATGAATAGGACCTAAAGTGGGAAAGCTGAAATTAGTGAAGGGCAGCAAATGCAATGAGCTTGCTCCTGACAGTGTTAGTTACACTGATAACAAACTGTGAGTGCCACCAGCGGAGAGCAGGGTACTGCCTTCTCTAACAATTCTATACAGGCTGCTTTACTCTTCCCAGGATTTTTGGTTTCCAGTCCTGAGGATGAGCTTATTGTGGTATCGCAGCACTGACTGTGGGAACGTGCTTGGTTCCCTAGCAGCCTTTTGTGTTAAAATGATCTTCTTTCACTTAATTAGTGGAAGGAGATGTCTTTTGGCATGAAGGCACTTGCAGGAGTGTTTGCTGCTCTTTTAATTGCTTCTCTCCCTCTTTGTGGTATTTCTCCTAAAGCACAGCTCTGCCACTCGCGGGATAACATCATCATCTCCTGCTATAAAACCGCTTTGAATCCTGACGGTTTCGCGCAGTCTGATCACCACAGGCTCCCAAGGGAGATGGGAATGATGTAAAACCTGGAGCCTTTTTTGTTTCTTTGTCCGCAGACCTGGCCCCGGGGGCCGCCAGCAGCCGCTCGGTCCCCGGCAGAGGGTGCTCGGCCGCCGGCCACTCGCCCTTCCCGGAGGGCTCACATCGAAGCCCTGCCCCGGCTCCGCTCTGAATAAACACAACTATTAATGCAGAGGTCAAGGTCCTCTTATATTTATAACTCAGGTGAAGGCACCATCCCAGTGCACTTCCTTATTCCTGCCAAAGAACCTTTGCACTTGGAGCATCAGAGAAAGAAACCAGCAAAAAATGTAGTGCAAAGCTCTCGGTGAAGATTTCCTGAGCTCTCAGCATGGGAAATGTGCTATCTTACCCCTAAAAGCACAGTCCGAAAATGCTGACTGATAACGTTGCCCTGGCCAAGGACAGGAGCTTCTCCCTTCCCAGCCCGTGGCGCAGGGTGAGGGTGTCGATTTGGCTCCAGCTCTTCCCATTTCTGTCCCGGGAGGGGCATTTTCTTGTATCAGCCAGCAAAACCCAACATCCTGTTTGGGAGTTTGCTGAGGGGAAGTTGCAAATCTTGTTTAATTTGATCGTCCAAGAGGGTATTGCAGTTTTGTATCTTTCTGAGCAGCCTGTGAAAGTTTAACTAAAATCATGTGGCACAAGTCATTTTTTCCTACCGTTTGCTAAACTAACCTAACCTAACCAATGCTAATAACTATGAGCTAAACTGAACACATCATGCAAAGCCTCAGCCCCAGAACAGTGAGCTGGATCCAAGCATCCATTCCTCTTTGTTTGATCAGAGGCAAACCCCTCTTTCCTGCTGTTCCCCATCCCGCGTTCCCTGCCCGCACACCAGAGGGAATGTGCTGCTTCACAACACAGGGCGGTGGAAATTTGTTATTAAAGAGTATTTGTGGTGAATCTGTGACTTGTAATTAGACAGAGCTGTTCACAGGGAGATGCAGTAACCTACTTTTAGACAATACAAAACAGTT